ATACAACACAGCAGCGAGATACCTTCCACGAATCGCCCCTCCAATCGATGACGACCTTTGAATCGCTCTTCCGGCCAGCGACTCCACGACTCCACGAACTCTATAAACTACCCAAATTGGGGATTTTGATTTTGATACCCAATTAGTACTGTTCTGAGGTATGGTGCACTGAACAAACCGTGTACTGTTCTCCCATTCGTAGTGTTGGTGTTTTGTAGGAAGATTTTGAGGAAGAGGTTTCTGTCGGCCATGTTGGCAAAAAACTGCCATTTATATATTAGGTTGGTTAAGTTTTGTTCCAGGGTTCTGTTGATGGTGAATACCGTGATGGTTTCAGGCACGGGAACCAGTTCCAGTTTCATGTGAGTATGACGCCGAAGCTAACGCCGAAGCTAGCGCCGCCGCCGCCCCTGATTGCTCAGAAGAAATCCTCTCCCATGGATTTTCGGTCGAGGATTCGGCCGTTAACATCCATGATTCGGGCGTCAATCACGTCGTCCGCCACCATCCCATGTTTTCGTATCATCGCCCCATAGCCGCCGCCGTTGATGTGGCCACCCGTGCCCACCGTGGGACAAAAACTCGCCAAAAAAGCAAGTTTCGCTCTTATTAGCAATGGTATAGTAGAGTTCACCTAGCGTGGCTCCGGTTTAGACCCACGTCGACTTCTCCCCAGAGTTAACCTGGATCGACCGGAGCTTGATCAAGTCAAGAATAGCAAACGGGAGACTGGAAACATACAAAAGGCCCTCGTAGTCGTGGCTGCCGCTTCGGGTCCTCAGCTGGATGTTATACTTCCGACAACAAATCACTGCAGCTCGGACGTGGGATTCCCGTAAAGGTGTGATGATGACTACATGTTTGGGGCTTCCGGGCGCCGTGAACCGGGAATTTTGGGCGGAGAAATTCAGGATCAACAAGAATGACGGGCTGTTCGGAGTGTAGACTACCTCAGAGGTGCCATTATTTCTCACCTTTCTAGAAAGACAATACACAAAATCTTGATGATGAGGACTATTTGCAGCAGGAATGCTACTTTCTGGAAAGACAGTACACAAAATCTTCTGGCCACAAATGGAGGTGGTTCAAAGGACTCGTTGGGGGTGATACGTAATTCACCAAAATGAAATGACTTGAATACCCCTCTATTTAATGCCAACTTAACTTAGGTTTAACGGAAGGACTATTGTTGGAACAAATCTGATAGTCAAGGGTCTATTTTGTCCAAATTAAAAGACAAGGACCAATTTTGAAAAATCACAATAGTCAGAGGACCATTGCTGGAATTAACTCATTTAAGAAACATGTACGACGTTTAGCGTTTATGGATTAATAATATTTGTAAAATAATTGGATTGGGCTATCACTCATAATCCAACCCTCCATAGCTAGGGAGTACAGTGTAGTAGTGTACTATGGGTGCCTGCGCCAGTGGCCTGATCAATCAACCATCGGTGTATCTTATTGGGCCTCTCATCTATTAATCATGGATGGGGCTCCGCTAACCATAGCCTGCGGCCTGCCGAATTCGTTCAATGCACACGATTGCAAAAACGGTATCGTTTTATTTTTAAAAAAAATTATTTCTAATTGTCGTTAATTACGTAAATATATGTTCATAATTTTATAATTTCATATTCTGCACGTATAGTTATGAAGTTATAGATGTGCACTTATGCAATTCTGAATGTATTGTTATGAAGTTATTGATTTGTAGTTATGAAATTCTGAATGTATAGTTATGAAGTTATAGATGTGTAGTTATTTAGCCGGTTATATTGGCCCGCCAATGACCATTCAGAAGTCCTAATATCAACATAGGCAAATTATATCGTGCACCACGCCGCACATAGCAATGTGCGCCTCATGCACAAAACGCGCGCGTTTCATGTTGACGTCATGCTGAACTCACTCCGTCCATCTGAACAGACCAAACCGCATTATGTGTATTCAGTTAAAATTTTGTGTATTGTGTTATGAGTTTATGTGAATTCAGTTAAGAGTTTATGTGTATTGTGTTATGAGTTGTGTATTATGTATTATGTTAGATTATATGTATTCTGATATGAGTTTATGTGTATTCTGTTATGAGTTTATGTGCATTCTAAACAGAGAATTTTTTTTAATAACTTAACAAAACGACGTTGTTTTGGGAGGCGCGGGTGCACATTGCTGTGCACAGTATAACGATTGATCAACATATATGATTATCTAAGTAATTATGCGACCAACTTAATTGACTGAGGTTGTCTTCAACAAAATATGTACATAAATTAGAATGGACAAATAGTATTATTTTTCTAACAATAAATTGCTCAATGGCGGCCTTTAATTTATTGCTCCCTATAATCTCTCTAATATATGTATATATCTAAAATAAAAGTGAACAATAATTATTGGTGAACCCTATAGTGGTCACGTACGTACAGAACCTACTGTACAATCCAATAGTGATAAAGAAAATTAGTCAATTCATCAACTCTTGTGACCGTTAGGTTTACCAATACGTATTATTAGTGTACACTTTTAAGATTATAACTTTTTAGGTAATTTAGAGTTGATAATACGATGCGAATTACATTATGCTCAGTTGACATATTTTTATGATTTTTCGTGGAAAAAGTTACAAAATCACTTTGTTTGAGGGAAGGTCACAAGATCGAACCGTGATGAGTAATGTATTGGCTCTTTAGACTACAATTGATACATACTAAAAGTATTCACAAGAGTTGCTGATACGATGAACTTTTACGGATTCCTTAATGAGCATGCAAGTATAGTTGCAACCAATTACATCATTAACTCGTTTGTTTTGTTTGTTGGGATATTTCAATATTTTCCCGTGTGGGTTTCCTTTTTTAGTTATCAATTGATCACTTGAGCTTACATGCAAGTATAAAACACAAACCTGCATTCCCATTTTGAGAGAGCAACTCCTTGCGGATTACTTATTAATAATTTTCTCGATTTAATCTATTAGTTATGGATAGTTTAATTAGGTTGGTTGATTTTGTTGTGGTTATTTGTCAACTAGGGTCACAAGATGGTCTTCACTCATTACACATATTTAAATAACGACTATGAACTTTATTGTAAATCAAAGTTTGTATTACGTTATTTCAAAATTAACTTAGCTAGATATGCAATAACAAATAGAAAATTAAATAAAAAATTGCTCCGCCAGGGAAATATATACAGAAAAGGGACGTATTGTTGCTACCCATTGAGAAGCCAGAATCCAACTCTTATTCTGGACTCTTCTCGATTTTCTATTTCATGTAACCTATTAAGACTTTAACTCCATCACAATAAAGTTAGCTCAATAATAAAAATTTGACTATAACTTTTTTTTTTTTTTTTTTTTGAAAGGAAGTTTGGTTATAACTTTATTTACTTAAATACTATTCCATAATTCTCTTGTGGGGTTAATATGAGATCGTATTAATCTCTAATTTGTGAAAAAAGGAAAATTATAGAAGTTAGCGTTACATGACAAATATTCATGCAAGCCATCCAGCTTTCAAGGGAATTCAAAGCTTGCTGTTTGCATACGCCATTAAGGTAGTTATATCATGTTTTATGTGATTCTAGATTTTTTCGTTGATCTTGTATTGTATTAAGAAAAATGAAAACTTGATTTCCTTTATTGACGGCAGAAATTTGATTAATTGATATAAAATACATTTTTAATCAAATATAGTTTTGACCCGCCATCCTTTAATCCAACGTTACCCGATTCCGGATGCACGATACAGTTTCTAAACTTGCCCCATTTCAAGTGCACAATACAGTTTCTAACTTGGACTAATAGATAGAAGATCGAATTGTTATACTATAGACTAGGGTCCATCTTGCATTGTGAATCACGGTTCAAAAATTATATTTTTACAGTTAATATATTTTGTACATGCAGTTAACCGTTTGTGTGCTTGTAAATAAAGAGTTCTACTAAATGAATTCCCTATCTCTAGTCCTTTACTCTTATTCCCTGATGCGAGAATGAATAATTTGTTATCTTTATCATGTGGATCCCAAGGAAAATGTCACCATCAAAATTTTGTAACAGAGAGTAAAAGTTGGGGGCAGAAGTAGTATTTTCCATAAATAAATTGAAAAACATAACATGTTAACTACAGTCACATAAAATGGTAACTACAAACATATAAAATATTAACTGTATGGTACAAAATATGTCAACTACAAACACATGATCTGAAGGTTATTTTAGATTCAGGTCCACAATGCAAAGTAGACCATGGTCTATGGTATAATTTAGCTAGAAGATCATAGCCATATCTATATATGCCTTAGCCAAACGGAATTGGATTATTATTAACCAAAATTAAATAATAGTAGTTTATAATAATTCAAGACCTTTAGAGTATAGTTGGGATGACAGAATTAAGTGCTACGTATAGATCGTAATAAGTAGTTGAAAATGAAGTGAGTCCATAATTGATGCAATTTAAGTAGTTGAAAAGTGCCCGGAGGAGAAGAACATTCACACACAGTCTTTTGCTTCTGGTCCATATATCACTTCTAACCCCCTTATTAATTAATTGGCATAGATCACAACAACACAGCACATGACATGCAACATACACTTAAAAAATAATACAAATTACAAAATTAGTAACCATAAGGTTACAACTTCAACTCCGAACTGGAGTAGTGGTCTATCAGCCTTATAGGGTTCAGTCGGTTCGCTATAGACAATTTAGATTGACTTATCTTCTTGTGGTCCTTTATCATATAAAATCACAAGGTGTGGTTTACTCGGTACACACACTGCACTTGAGTAGTGATTGTGAGTTTTCCTCGTCACAAGAAATAAAAATAAAAATTCAAGCATTAATAACTAAGTAAATTGATTGAAGAATCAATAGCGGCCATTATTTGAGTGGCAAGCTATTCTATATATACCTGTATGCAAATGTATGTGAATGTAAGTTAGCTTAGTTACATATATAGGATTCTCCAAAAAAAAAAAGAAGTATAGGATTCAAGGTTTGTTTAAGCTAAGGTATCAGAATATGGCTGCCAAATATACAAGGCAGGGTTTTGGTGATGAAGAAAGCCATCCCCATCAAAATGGTGGAAGCAATAGAGTTGAAGATGTGTCCTCTACACCCACCATAAGGCAAGCAACTTTACCTCAGATCAACTCCCTTTTTTCTATCAAACTTTAGCTCTCGATCTCTATCTTCTTCTCTACTTCACTAACTTTAATTTTTAATTTCATGCATATATGCATGGTTTTACTGATTCATCAGCAACGGTAACGGTAACGGTACTCATCAATGGACTGGAGAAAAGATCCCATCTTCCCACCTCACTCTTGCCCAAAAGCTTGGGTTAATGGACTTCCTTTCCTTGGATGTTAGTACACTTACATTTTCTAATACACAAATAACTTTGATTATTATATTTTTATACTTTGATTGTAAAATTGAAGGTGTGGAGAGCTTCAATGGGGGAGGTGTTTGGGACAGCAGTGTTAGTCTTCATGCTGGACGCCATAGTTATATCAACTTATGAAAGTGAGGTGAAAATGCCAAATTTGATCATGTCCATCCTTATTGCGATCGTCATCACGGTTCTGTTGCTGGCCGTGTTTCCGGTTTCCGGCGGCCACATAAACCCCACCGTCACCTTCTCCGCCGCCCTTGTCGGGATTATTTCCATGTCGAGAGCCGTGATATATATGGTAGCACAGTGTGTTGGTGCCGTGTTGGGTGCTCTAGCACTCAAAGCCGTGGTGAGTAGCAGCATCGAGAATACTTTCTCGCTCGGCGGATGCACCGTCACGGTGGTTGCGCCCGGTCCGAACGGGCCGGTGACGGTTGGGCTGGATACGGTGCAGGCTTTCTGGCTGGAGGTTTTCTGTTCCTTCGTCTTCCTTTTTGCTTCCATTTGGATGGCTTATGATTATCGTCAAGCTAAAGTCCTCGGGCACGTCAAGGTTTTCACTGTCGTCGGAATTGTGTTGGGCCTCCTCGTGTTCATCTCGACGACGTTGACGACGAAGAAGGGATACGCCGGCGCCGGGATGAACCCGGCGAGGTGTGTCGGTGCAGCACTGGTTAGAGGCGGTCATCTTTGGGATGGACACTGGATATTCTGGGTTGGGCCTCTTATTGCATGCGTCGCGTTTTATCTCTACACAAAGATCATCCCCGAACGCCATTTCCATGCTAGTGGATATCCACACGATTTCTTCTCCACTGTCAAGGTGGGCCTAGGCATTAGGCCTAGTATCTAATGGGCCAGAAACCCATAAACACCAAACTTGTAGTGGGCCTCTCAATAATGCAGCAGAATATCAGGCCCAAACCGCGTTGACCGTCATCCTTTTTTTTTTTTTTTTCTTTTGTTTTTGTTTTTGTTTTGTTTTGTTTGGGGGCATGTTTGTACTTTGCTTTGATTCTCTGTACTTGAAGCATTCATAGATGAGTGTATGCGCTGTGCGCATTTAGAACAACCATACATTTTACAATTACGTGCAGTGAAACGAAAAACCACACATTTCTCATTAGGGTAACATTTGTCTGGGACCGTTTTACGGGTCTCGATCCGTAAGACGGATCAGATATTTAATTAATGAATCAAATCTTTGATTAAATAGTTGGATCTTTGATCACATTAATCAAAGATTCAACCAGTCTCACGGATCTCGATCAGTGAGACGGTCTTACGCAAGTTTTTGCGTTCCCCATATAATTATTTGAAACATTAAGGGTGTGTTTGGTTCGTACATATGAATCAGAATTGAAATGTGAATCAAATACTTGGTAATTATTGTAATGTGTTTTGGTGAAATTAAAGTATTTTGTAAGTTTGGTAGTAGGTAGGGCTGTAACCAACCGAACATAAAGGAACGGAGATTGTTCGTGTTCGTTTAATTTGTTAAGGAATTTGGAGTGTTTGTGTTCGTTTGTTAAGTTTTTTGAAAATTCTGTTCGTGTTCGTTTGTTAAGCGTTCATTGGTGTTCGTTAACGTTAACGAACATGTTTGTTAACGTTCGTGAAACCGTTCGCGGACGTGTTCATTAACATTAACAAACACGTTCATTGACAAACACGTTCACGAACATGTTTATTTACCTTCGTGAACACTTAATAAACAAACACATACATATGTTCATGATCACAATTTGTTCGCGAACAATAAATAATCAACGTTCACGAACAATAATCAAACAAACAACTTAACTACAAAATTAATACAAATAAGTGAAATAACTAGATAAGTCCACTCGTAACCTCTAATATCAGAATAAAAATCAAGTCTTAGACACATAATTTGTTTGTTCACATTACAAGCCAAAACATTAAAACATAAAGCATGCGATATTTAAATTTTGCATCCATCATCCCAAATTTTTAATACCTTAACTCCAAGTTCATTCCAGTGATATCGTCTTTACATCTTCATTAAACTACGTTAAATGATATATATTATTATATTACATATTAAATGTGTGCCAGCTTATAGGATAACATAATACAAATTAATGAAGTATGAGTGAATGACTGCTGAAGATGGGAGGGAAACCCTAATAAGAGTATGAGACCATTAAATTACCTTATTTTATATATTTATATATTTATATATATATATATATATATATATATATATATATATATATATATATATATATATATATATATATATATATATAAGGGATCAGGTGCATTTGTTGCTTCCCGTGCGGTTGTTCGGTGGATTAATGTCCGTGAGGTTTATACTTAATGTGCGTGAGTTTTGTACTTAATGTGTCAGAGTATTGTGCCTAATATGCGTGAGATTTGTGCTTAATGTGCGTGAGTAATGAAAGAATTTTCAATAATCTGGAAACATTAATCCGAGGAACCTCTTGCAGACCAATCACCAGTAGATCAAAATTCTCCGTTTCTTTCCACTAGTTTTCTATGTCCTCCATACTCACCTTCACCATAGCAGAATAAATCGATTAATAAATAAATAAATAAACAAATCTGACATGATGGAATTGAAGCAAACAACAGAAGTTCCAGATTCTCGCACCAAGATCAGTCTGCATAGACCATTGATAAGGATAGAATTTGTGTATTCACTTTGGGAAGCTTTTATTTCATTGTAAACATCAGTAAAGCTGAGCAACACACTATTATATGTCCTTATTGAAATTTGAAGATTCAAATCTTTCATCTTGGATAGAACAAAAAAAGCATCAGCAACCATCTCAGATGTCGAATAAGTACAGGCCAGCATATTCCATACCACATTATAAGCAACCCAATAATCGACGTTATTCTGAAGCAACTCACAGAGTGCTGGGGATGGGAAAGAAGCTGATAACCATATTTTCTGCTGCATTTTACACATTTACGCACATTAAGTACAAATCTTAGGCACATTAGACACAACACTCACGCACATTGAGTACAAATCTCATGCACAATCTCAGGCACATTAATAACCGCACAACCGCACGGGAACCTTTCACTATATATATATATATATATATATATATATATATATATATATATATATATATATATATATATATATATATATATATATATATATATATATATATATATATGGGTGTGTGTGTGTTTGTGAACATGTTCGCGAACATTATTAAACGAACACTAAACAAACTTGTTTGCGAATACTAAACAAGCTTGTTCGCGAACACTAAACGAGCTTGTTCGCGAACATTATTAACAAACACAAACGAGCTTGTTCACGATCTCTTAGCAAACGAGCTTACAACTGTTCAGACTCTGTTGGTTTATTAACCAAGCTTTAAATTTTGTTTGTTAATGTTCGTTTACCTTAATAAACAAACATAAACGAATGCTTACTGAACATGAACACGAGTAGTTTGCCGAAAGTTCTGTTCGCTAATACCCCTAGTAGTAGGGTGAAATTGGGATGGATGAATGAATGATTACCAATATTCATGTTCGGTTGTATATGACTCTATAATGGGAATACATGTTTTAAAAAAATACAAAAATAAAAGTCAAGGTAATTGATCATAATATAATGATATCAATATGAAAAAATAAATAAATTTAAAAGTACTAATCTAAACTTAAAAATTAGATTACCTATAAGATGTAAATGATATATACCCATTTTTAATTAGGGAATGATATTTTTAATTGAAAGGTAATCAAATTTAATAATTATGTTTAAAAAAATTATCAACCAAACACTAACTATTATTTTGATTCTTATTTTTAATGTGCAAACCCATGAACCAAACACACCCTAACCATTGTTGAACACTATGAAATTTTTTATATTATTTCAACAAGTCCAAATGACAACGTAACAGAAATACTTGTCCAAAATTGTGATGGAACCAACCAGGAACAAAACAAACTAAGCTAATCGATCTAACTGTTTCAAATCTTTTGGTTAGTTACAATTTGCGTGTGTTGATTTAGCTAGACTCCAAAGTATACATTTAAGCTAAAAATTTGTATGCAGTATACATTTTATATTGGTGTGTGAATGTTACAACTCGATAAAGAACGAATGAAGAGATAATGAAAAGAAAAGAAGATCAAATAGAAAAGGATGATCTTCAGTTGAATATATAAGCTAATTATAGATTCTAAAATGATGTATAGTACTTGGAGGATGAAGATGAGATGAGAAGAGTTGAAGATTAGCTGAGAAGTGAGATGAGATGAAGGAAAGCATCCTCATTGCAGGGCAAGGTGAGGCCGCCGGTGGGATGATCAAACCCAAACTCTTCCTCAGCTGTCTTTAACAACATCTGGAAACGAGGATGATTAAGGTACGCTATTGGAACCACATATCTCCTCTTCTCCAGCTCTCCAACGTAAACCGCCAAATGCCCTTTCGGAACATCCGAACAATGGCCGTTTCTTGCACCCGACTGCAGCTTCTGAAACTGCCTTGCATTTCCCAAAATGGAAAACAAACGAATCGCCATTTCGCGCTTACAATGTTTGTTAATTACTTGTGCACTTCACTTACGTTACGTACGTTGTTCAATTCGAGATATATATATAATCCTTGCCGGATATGATCCACCTAGGTACAATGGCAGGTATATATATATATATATGTATTCATCGGTGCATATGTATGTGGAATTGTATGAACGCGTCGAAGGGAAGGGATGGGATGTAACGGGTGGCCAGCTGGTGTGAATTCGCTGGAGAGGGCCCACCTTTCAGAGGGTCACATGCATGGATTTGGTGAGTCGGTCACAGCGTCTCGGAGCAACAGGGATACACCACCATATAATATAATATTGTCCGTACGACGGTATCATACCAGAAGGAATTTTATTGGCCTGATGGGATAATTATTATATGATAGGATCGATACTCCGTATTTACTTTGTACCATATCTAACCTATGCTTTCATTCCCCGCCCTATAATAACACTAAGAGTTTTTATCAAGTTATATGGTAAATACCACATAATTAATTTCCAAAGTTGAAATGAGTATACATGTAATTCAAACTTGAAAAATGCAAACAAATCTCAACCGGTTGGATCATTTCCAATGGTTTACAATATTTTAATTTATAAAAAAGTTCGGCTATCAAAGGTGTTAATACTTATAATACTTAGACTTAAAAGAATTGAATTCAACCACTATTATATATTCACCCGTCGTTCTCCATTATCCCATCACCATATATGCATGCCCTCACTTCCCACATGGGTATGTAGTATTAAATAAGTACTTTACGTACTCTTGTACCAAATGCACATGTCCCGTGAAGTATTTGAGCCCATTTGTCAAAATACAATTTTTTAACATCACCAAAGTGATTCCGCAAGTGAAACATGATTATAGTATTTGAAAATCACTAATTAATTTAATTATTTTTAGCACTTTTTTTAATCAAATTTGTTGCGTATGACTTTTCTTGTATGATTTATCTTTCTTGTATTATTTGCTCGTTGTTACACAAGAACGAATTTACCTCTCCTAAGTTTCATTCTCTATCAAAAACATAAAAATAAAATTGGGGTATATAAATTATGATCCCTTCCCACGGATCATAATTTTTTTTACACCCCTAGTGGGAAGTAATGGGTCTAACTTCCGATTTCCCAAGTTCAATTATTTTCCTGAAATTGTGTAAGTTTTTCAGCTCTGACTTGCAGTATTGAATATTGAATATATTATATATATCTATACATTTATTAAAGGCATGATTCAATGCGTTGAACGTTTTAATATTTTTTGAAACTTGAGGCGCACGTTTCCCACCGCACTCACTGCGAAGTTTAGTATGGACGACGATGACGCCGGTGGGAGTATGATCTGCTAGCTTTTCTGCGTTGTTATGGCACAACCGTACCCTAACTCTACTCCCCAACTTGTATTTCACCATCTTCCTAATAATATATACACTGTTCCGACTGCATTATTGATTAGCCACTAGTTTCCTTGAGCCGTTAAACCGCGTACTATGCCTGCATTCATTCCACTCTAATATGCTAGCTAGCTACCTAGCTTCATCATCTTTAATTTTTTAATTATTTAATTTATGAAACTGATGATCTGATCTGTATTATATGACTTTCATCATTGCTGTAGCTGTGTATGTTATTAATTTATTGTTTATTTCTTTATACTGTTATTTATAGCATATCAGTGTATTATCTATTTCATTTTATATTTTTTATTAAAATATAATATATGAAAATTAAATTAAAAGTTTAATTAATTACACAAAAAGATGACTTTTAAAAGAAGCAAACAGAGAATAATAGCCGCCCAATGGGTGACAACAAGGGAAGGTAGAGATAAGTTTGTCAAAGAATAATCATGTTTAGCTTAGCTGCACTTTCTTCCCAACTTAATTAATGGCTGCCAATTGAACACTTATTATTATTATTTTAATGAAGAATTCGTTGTCATTATTCAAAAATGTACATTTAAATAAATTTCGCTTTACACATGAGATTGTACTAAAAAAAAAATTGTGAAGACTGCAACTCAACGAAATACGAGGAGTGCTTTTCTGCCATCCAAAATCATGAACGGTCTTGTTTGGTAAACGGCTATTAGCTGGTTGGGTTAATTAGAGTATATTACTAGTTGATAATATTAGCTGATTATAGACAGGTGTTTGGTAAATTAGCTATTTACTGTAAATAGTTGTTTGGTATAATTTCATTTATCAAAAAGTTACTTTTGAGCAGTTTTTTGAAGTTTAGTATTTTGGAGTTACAAAAAACTAAACCAAATATTTATATTGATTTTGTAACCAAGTCAAACAATTAATAATGGTCAAATAAGTTAAAATTAACTGATAAGTTAACTATGTTACCAAACTGGGCCGCTGGCCAATAAGCGTCACCTTAACCTACCACATCATGTGAGGATTGTTATGCTGTGCATCCGTATGCACCATGCAAGGTGCATCCGGATGCAAAAACGATGTCGTTTTGACGTCTAACTTAAAAAAAAAAATTCAGAATTGCATAACTACACATCCATAATTTCATAACTATAAATCCAGAATTGCATAACTACACATCCATAACTTCATAACTATACATCCAGAATTGCATAACTACACATTCATAACTTCATAACTATACATCCAGAATTGCATAACTACACATCCATAACTTCATAACTATAAATCCATAATTGCATAACTACACATCCATAACTACACATCCAGAATTGCATAACTATACATCCAGAATTTTATAACTAAAAATCCAGAATGAATGAATTAAAAAATGAATAACATAATATTGTTACTAGGAATCGAAACTGATTGAGATCATGTGATAGTAGGACGCTCGTTTTTGCAAAATGACAGCATAATTTGAGATCATGTGATAACTCTATAAATCAACTTTTCATATATTCAAAATACATTGTAGTGCTATATTGTTAGGGTTATATACCTCTTATCCAGTTGTTCGAAAGGCCCAACAAGATGAGCCGAAGCACTAAACATGCATGCATTTGTTATATGCATTATATTTTTATACGGAGTACCCCGGACCAAGATTCATCTTACATTATGAATACTAATTTAAAATAATATTTAGATTATATAATACATTTAATATATTATGTGTATTCAGTTAATAAATTATGTACTTATTACAATTAACATTTGTAGTTAATATATTATATGTATGCATTTAATAAATTATATAGATTTGATTTTTATATAATAAACATGAAAAATAAAATGATTTTTGAGAACGAAGGTAAAAATTATTGGCATACATACATACATTGATAGGATTCTGTTTGTGCACAAGTGAGGGTGAAAAATTGAAAATTCATGCGTCGGTGACTTAGCTGGCTAATTGGCTATTATTCTATTAATTAATATTTGTGAAACTTCCCTTTGCCCTTGACTTTGTCGTCGCAGTATTTGACCTATGTGGAACGTTCGTCTGTTCAACCATGCATGCAGAGCGTACAACTAAACACCCACTCCGCAGAATCAGACACAGTGCAGTTTAGGCTGTCGTGTCTACCTTTTTTACCCATGTTGTAATATAACTAGCTTAATTGGAAAATGCTAAGTAAAAATAATATTAACTTTTGCTTTATATATCAACTTCATTCCGTATAACACTGTAAGTGTAACATATGCTAAAATAACAGCCAATACATAAAATTCATTTGGAATTTACAAAAATGGATTGATCAAGCTAGTATAATTCAAAGCTAGCTTAGAAAACTATAGAAATTAAAGGGGTTGGGACTTGATTAAATTTCACCCACCCTGCAATGTGTAATTCAAAAGACGTATGGATCGGAGTATACGAGAATGCTGGAACTAGTAGTTAGCTTAGCTAGCTAGCTGCTGCGCTGTGATTGCAAGTGGGAAATGATATTCAAGAATGCAGCCTCGCTGCAAGGGATAGTTAAGCCACCCGTCGGATGTCGGAACCCATATTCTTCCTCGGCGAGGGACAACAAATCATGGAACAAAGGATGGTTAAGGTACGAGATAGGAACCACGAACCGATGCCTGTCTTCTGGGCTTTCTCCAACGTAAACTGCCAAGTGACCTCTCGGAACATCCGCTGCCGTGGATCTTGATCGAACAATGTACTTGGCTACATGAAAAACTGTCATCAAATTGATCCCCATGATTACCCGCCGTACCCTAAAAGATAGAGCTCGATCGATCGTTTTCTTCTCTGAAAAGGGGGACTGAATGCCTAGCAAACGCAGTACAAATTTAATTTGCTGAGTCGTCGAAGATTCCGATGATGATGATTTTTGAGCATGCCAATGATAATTGCTGTATATATATTTATAGGAGCCTATGATTATGACATATACTGTTGATGACGCTTAGATTCAATTCGTGGGTTACAAGTATGGGCACTCGTCATCCGACGGTGGACGCTGCTTCACTGCATTATTGTGAGGGAATTTAAGTCTGCTGAACATGGCCCCCACTTGTGTGAATGGAAAACACGGTAGTGACCAGTGCAATAAAATAGAAGATGAGAAACTTCACTTAAGTCTTATTTTTTGTCCTAAGACTAGGTTCAATTCTTATCATTCAGGTTTAAATTAGATTCTTTGTGTGCAGAATACACAATTTAATGTTTAGTTTTGAAGTTAAATTAACTTAATTTATTTTATCATAAACAAGGAACATATTCATGAGTGTTTGATATAGTTCATTAGTCAAAAAACCTAAAATTTGAAAAAAAAAAAAAAAAACATGGTAGAACAGAGTTATCGTCTCCGATCAATAATTAGGTTTCAAAGGATTGGATATACGCGTACTGGAACGCGTACGAGTACGGATGTACGTTGGTATGTTGCATCATAATAGAGAATATATATTTTTATTCTTATGTTCGATTTAAATAATGTAATTTTAGGTACGATGCCGTTTTCCTAGAAACTGATTATGCATATGGTACGCCTGGTACATTTATTAGGTCACTCAGATGCAGTTCCTTTCGATCTACCCGTATTAATTGGTGTCCACCGGTTTATGCATATATATATGGTACGTGGATAATGTTTAATTCCTTAGCTTATTGCATTACAAAAACATGTGTTATTATATGTAATGTGAAATCAAATTATAAAATGATATACACATTTGACTTAAATATTATAATTTGATATTATACACATTCCGTTATTGTTGAAGATATGAGTCTAAAATGACAAATGAATTGAGTTTGGAGATCAAACCATGATCAATATGAATGTGAGTGTTGGATCTCACTATGCTTATTTCTTAGTGTGTCACACATCCAGTAACGTAATTATGGTAAACCAAACATGCTTAATCACAGAGTTCTTTGATTATTTAGTTGTCATATTCTACTTAAAACCAATTGGTGATAAGTAGATGGATATTAACCATTTAACTACCTTCCTCCATTGTAAGTCATAGCGCCACATTTCAAATTGAACATGGGCTGAACTCGGCCAACTCGACAGATGCCCAACAATGAGGACATGTAGAGTAATTATGTGTTCCTTTCAAATGCTCTGTCAGGTCGGGATGTGGTGACCCTTAGAGTTGGGGTTCAACCTTGGAAGAATGTAAAGTAATTATGTGTGACAGTTGTTACACACGTGAGCAAGATTATACAAGTACAATGATAAAATTAATTATCGTGATCTGAATTAATTAAGTCCAATTAATTAAAGGATAAATGGATGTAAAGATAATATAAAGCTTGAGAGATACAAGGTGTCTTAATATTACATTAATCACTCAATGAGAGTACAAGATATGTATTAGGAAGACGATTCGTACTCAACCAGATAAATGCCCCGTTTTTATACATGGTTTTTGGTAATTGCCAGAGCAGTTCGGGTGCAACCCGTTTAGGACGGACGGTTACAACCCCCAGTTTGACCGGACCGCATGGCTCGCCTCAGCGGACCTCGTGGAGGCTGACCCGACTGATGCCGGTAAGTTCGGATGTTTTGTCATTCTTTTGGGATTGAGAGTTATGACACCTAATATGTAATCATAAATAATTACGAACTAGAATAAGAAAATTAACAAGAATCTAAGCAAACAAGTTTAAGGAAATGATAATTAAACAAAATAACACAAACACATTAACAAGGAATAACATTAAAATAAAGAAACATGACTCAAGCTAGGAGCATTATCTTCTAGATGCTTCAACAACAGGATTAGGAAGAACAAATAACCAAGAATCAAGCGGGAATATAATGCACGTAAGTATTATAGTCTAAAGCCACTTCCATGAGCAAATAAACAAGGATTAGAACAAGGAATTGCCCCACTCGAACTCCTGACGTATCAATTCTAAGTTCAACAAACACACAAAGCATCTAAAACTGCCAATTTCCCTTATTTTCATATGAACAACATAGTTAATTTTCAATGGTTTTTTTTTTTTTTTTTTTTTTTTTTGCTCCAAATCTCCATTTGTTTGCTCATCTTTGCCTCCAAAGGTTTCCAACTCTTCATCACTCCTAGCAAAATAACACAAATAAGTACTAATTCACATTAAGTTTGGAATGATTAGCAAATAAAATGACCTAATATGTATAAGGAGAAAATATGGACAAATAAACGCTTATCACTAACCCCTTGACCCCAGGCCAGACTATCTTGGGTGGCTGACCTCGTGGTCGGCCTTGTCCAAGTTGATATGCCTTCTATCTGGTTGGTCCGCTTATGCTCGGATCAGGTTGCCTCATATATAGATTGAATCAATTCTTAATATACCTACCAAATCATGTATCTATAGACGAGGGAAAGTTACACATACTATATATCTATATGTTTACACGAAAACCACAAAGGTGGGGGCTCTCATTTTACTCACTCATTAAAAGGGAAATTCAACTCGTTACCAAAATGTTATAACACTATTGATAGGCACATTTTGTCACCCTTAGCTTTTTTAACTTCATCTCAATTTCAAACTTGAAACTTGTGAAGTCATCATGCCGGCGTCCAAATTCTCCACCAAAACAGTAAACCGATTAAGGCCGGTCAGTCCAAGATTGGTTAATGTACGACGTACGACTAATTGCCAGTTGGTGGAGTTCTGACCAATGCGAACACAGGAAATGCACCGGGCTTGATCAAAGTATTCAAGTCAAGATCAATCTGTTATTGCACTTTGATTAGTCGAAATATATATAGGGAAATTAATTAAAGAAATGTTGATCACACACTGTATCCATTCCCGCAAGAATTGAAGAGATAAGATTAGGCAGACGAGATTATGAGAATATAAAAAATCAAGATTCAAGACCACATCGGCGTTTCATTGGACCATAAACCAAACTCCAAACACCACCGCCGGTCTGCATTTAATGCACTGCGAAACTTGTGGCATTCGATGGTTTGATATTTTGCCAATGTTGAATGGGGGTTGTCTTTAGTCAGACAAACATGATGTTGAGGATGGACCCTCCTTGGTAGGCTCCAACCAATGACCCTAACAAGGGGTGTCTGCTTAGCTCATAGATTTTTGTTTTCCATTTTGCTTCTCGCTACTATCTCTATCCACAACTTTAGTTTTGCAAAGACAAGTTAGAAACACCAGCCAGCCTGTCATTCAACCCTTTCTAAAGTCTCCCATCAGATCACCCTTCAATCCATTCTTATGGTTTTGATTTGATTTCATGGTGGTCGGTTCTTTGCTCTCAGTTAGGAGAAGTTGTAGGCCCCCTCTTGTATCTCTAACTAATATATGGACTAGCTGCTTTCACAATGACTTTGGGATACAACCCATATGTATTTCTAATTAAGTATATTCATTTAATTTATACTACCTAATAATAAATCACAAGCTCAACCATTTCGAGCCGTCGGCATTCAAGCTAAGCTGCTAATGCAATTGCAAGGTATGAAGATCAACTCTTATGCATGCATGCTATGTTAAAAAGTTTTAAAAAATAATTTAATCACAACTTTACAAGTCTTACTAATCCTAATAAGAAGATTTATGTCATTATTGGAGGCAATTCCTGGCTAAATTAGTTGATCAAACAGTTAGCTTGGTAACTACAAGGTTCCAAATTTGGCAATCCATTGGAGATATCTATTAGTATTCTTGGTTTGAGTCAATCAACTATTGACAACTTAAGTTAGTTTACCTCCTTGCAGTTGTTTACCGACTAAGGTCACAACATGAGCTTCACTCAGAGCGCGCTTTCAAATAGTGGTGGCAAATTTTCCTGTAAATCAAAGATTATTTGTCATTATTTGCATATGGGCTTGGGCCATAGCCTATGGATTATAGGCATTGGTCAGTTTACACCACAAAGCAACAGTAGAATTATCATTTGGTTAGCTGAAAAGCTTCTCATTTACTTATCCACTCTTATCAAGAAGCAAAAAATGTGTTGAGAAGCTCCACTTTTCTGCACTTTATTGGATTAAGAACTCTTTTTCATTATTTGCTTAATAATAATACATGGTTATCTTCAATCTAGCTGTCTTTAGTCAGTCCTATCAATGTGTAAACATCATCTTGAGCATATGAAGCTAACAAGGTTTGTCTGCATAGTCAACTCATCAGTTATCTCTTTCTTAATCTTCACAATTCTAAATTTAAATTAATTAGCAGCCGGCCTATCCTATATATCAGTCATTTTTTTTTTCTATATTTTATTATAGTGTTATGTCTTTCATTTGATTTCAAGATCAGATGTTCTTTGTTCTTTGTTGGGAGAAGCAGTGGGGGCCTGCTGTCTCTGCAACTAGGTATATATAATTAACCCAGTATGTGACATGCATAGTAGTTAATCAGTTTTGGTGTTCTGGCCTGGCTTTCTGATGATGAAGTTGAGCAGACCAGGATAAGGTTAATAATGTTGTTTTCAGTTGTCATGAGAAATCATGTTTGAATCACATACTAATAATCATGTCATTAGCTAATAGGCTAATAGCTAGTCTGATCTCTCAAATCTGTAAAAGGCAAAACCACTGAAGAGATGCCAAGACTCAAGATCAGAGTATATTCTATCATATTTCATCTGTCTTATTCACTAGCTTTACTTTTCTGATGCCCATATCATTAAACATCAATCTCAGTGCTTGAACAAGGAGTTTCCGAATGAATTAAAGGTAAATAAGAGTTTTTTTTTTTTTTTTTAATAGCACTTTATCTTATAACTATATAGAGGTAATAAGGTTTGGCCTAAAAGTCCAAACCTATGATCTTTAACATTGCAAAGACATGACACAACCTTACTATATATAGCATTAATTAACCGCTTAATTACCAACTGTCTAAAATTACTGAATTGTAAATAAAACTGTACGTAGTTGTAAGACTAATCTGGATTGATTTGAGTTATTTATTTACGAAAAGAAAAATTAATTCAAAACTCTTAAACAAGGATACTCCTACCAAAATTCATTGGAATCGTAAAAAAGCTAAGGAATTTTTAAGATACCTAATACTTTTATATATTCCAAGTTCCTCACACTTAGACTGGAGGCAAAACCATGTGGTATTTCATGTGCTATGTCTCTCCTCAGTGCCCCATCTAATAAGGTCCCCGGCCCCCTAAAGCTAAACCTGTTAACATCAGATAGAATACTTATGACTTTGCAATTGCCTATATATACACACACACGCCAAGCGGTTTCTATCAACCTCAGCAAATTAAAAACAATTGCAGAGCTCATCTCTGAACCGTCCCCTTTCTTCTACAATTCACAGCAAATTAATAAAACATCCTAAACGACCATGGGCATCATCAAGAAATCCTCGACAACAAATGTCCCAAAAGGCCACTGCGCCGTTTACGTTGGAGAAAGCCAGAAGAAGCGATTCGTGATCCCGATATCATTCTTGAGCCAGCCTTTGTTTCAAGACTTGTTGAGCAAAGCTGAAGAGGAATTCGGATTCAGCCATCCAATGGGCGGCCTCACCATTCCTTGCAGGGAAGATGTGTTCGTCGATATTGCCTCCCGTTTAAGCAGCAGGACCTGCTAGAAGAAAAAGAAAACTACACAATTTTGAAATGTATGTATGTATGTATGTAAAGCTTCAACCTTGGATGCCGGGTTATCTTGTACAGCTCTCATAGGTAGACAATTGTTTTCATGAGCGTCGATTCTCCCACGTTAAAATGAATTGTGAGGAGTTGAATCAGACTGGTTGTCAATCGTATACTATACCTACAGTTTTCCCAGATGTCGTAAGTACAATAATAATAAAACAATAAAATTTTGTTCCGTCAAAACCTTTTCGATCTTTAAAGCTTTGGATTCTCATGTCAGAAATTATCACCTTTAAACCAGACATAAATCATATAAGAACTACCAAACACTAAGTCTGAAGTCGGTGCTGCCAATTATGACGACGACTCAAGCTGTTGTTAATGGCGGAGCAAGGAGCCATCCAATCGCTCAGATCTTGCATCACTGTACTCAAAATAAGAATCTAAGAGGTATTAAGGCAATTCATGCTCACCTGCTAATAACAGGGCTATTCTCTTTCACCCCTACTCTGCAGACCAAGATTATTTTCGCGTACGCCACATGCCTTCCTCAGACAAGCAACCTCCTAGTCCGGACCTTAACGAATTCTTTGAAATGCCTCAATCCCAGAAACCCTTTACTCTTCAATTCGATCATCTCTGGTTTTTGTGAAGGTGGGTTTCATTCACTTGCTTTACACACCTTTTCTTTTATGCATTTAAATGGCGTTTACATAGATTCATACGCGCTGTGTAGTTCCTTAACGTCTGCGTCCTGCGTCCGAAGCCTTAAGTTTGGGCAAAAAGCTCACGCCTTTACAGTAAAATCCGGTTGGTTTTCCAGTGTGTATGTCGGTTGTGCTATGATCGACTTATACGCGAAATTGCAGTGTATCAATGATGCAGCACAGTTGTTCGATGAAATTCCTGTGAGAAATAGTGTGTGCGCTAATGCACTAATATCAGGCTACACTGAAGCTAAGATGTGGGCTGAAGCGCTTGCATTAGCTAGAAAGATGCCGTCTTTAAATTTAGAGTTGGATAATTTCACTTTTTCAGCAGCTTTACGTGCCTGTGCTGGGCTCTCTGCGGTTGAATTGGGAATGCAGGTCCATGGTTGTGCTATTCGTAAAATTCATGATATGGAAACAGATGTGTTTCTGCAAAGTCTGTTAATTGAATTGTACGGCAAATGTGGACTTGTAGAGAAGGCAATGCAAGTATTCAACATGGCAGGGTTTCCACAGAGAAGGGTGAGAAATAGAGATCTTGTTCTTTGGACTTCAATGCTTGGGGCGCTTGGAAAGAATGGGAATTATGAACAAGTGATTAGGTTGTTCAGAGAAATGGTAGCTGAGGGAATCAAACCGGATGGTGTGGCATTTTTGACCGTTATCTCAGCTTGCAGTCACACTGGCCAAGTAAATCTCGGGATGGAGTATTTTGAATCAATGGCTCGCGATTATGGCTTGGAACATAGTCCCGAGCACTACAGCTGTCTGATTGATTTGCTTTGTCGAGCAGGGGAGTTGAACAAGGCATGGAAAATGGTAGAAGAGGCATCCTCCAAAGGGAATAGCAACTTCACTGTGTCCATGTGGGGGGCCTTGCTTAATGCCTGCAATGATTGTGGCAATGTTGAATTGGGTAAATTTGCAGCTCAAAGAGCCATTGAATTGGATCCTAATAATGATGGGATATATGTTCTACTATCCAACTTATATGCCAGAAACTGTATGTGGAATGAGATCGAGCAACTGAGGGAATTTATACGAGGAAAGGGCCTAAAGAAAGACATTGGTTCTAGTTGGATAGATATTGTGAATTGAATTAGAACAGTTCTTTGACACTTTGACAGATTCACAAATCAGAAGCTGGTGCTCTGCTACTATAACTATTTTCTTACGTTCCATGTACATCTAAGCAGTCCAAGCTCATTATAAAGGTCAAACTCAAAGCAACGTAAGGGAAGGATGATGTGCCTTCCTTATCTCAGTTTACTATGGTGCCATGAAATTAATAAGAAGTTGCTTTGATTTTCAAGAGAGATAACTCGATAGACATTCAACAGTTGATCATGCTAAGATATGCTAACTGGAAAACGCCTTTTAGAACATTAACAAATGCCCAAAGATCATAAATTTGATCATCTGCTCTACCTTCATTCAGCAAGTTTCAACCTTGGAAGTCAATGGCAAAGAAGCATGATAACTTGGCATCACGGTACCATTCCAAATTCTCAGAACGTGCCCAATTATATGAAAAGGTTACATTTTTCAGTATTCTCCAGATTACTCACTATTTATTTTCCTTAATTACCATAATCTGTTTATTCTTAAAGCGTTTCACCGCATTGTATGTTAAATAACTGGTTTATTCACAGCTTGATATTAGTTTTTAATAATTTTGTTATGAAAAGTTTGCATCTTGGCTTGTTAAGAAGTGTAGCTAAAGTTGTTCCTATTTTCTCATTGCTTAATATTTCCTGAAAAGTGAAATATCTTTCAGTACTCTTTAGTATCAATAGGTATCAGCCTTGTAAATGGACTTTTTGTGTTTGCAGAGCATCTAGTAATGATATGCTAGTGGAGTGGAATGATAAAGCATGCAATTTTTCAATCTAGTCTTTATTATACAACAATACATATGATTGTGACAAACTAACATCATTACTGTATACTTTGATCCTCTCTTCTTTTCCTTGTTTATATATGTAACAAAGTTTACTTTAAAAAGAGGGAGAGAGAACAGCTTCTAGAAAACAAACTTTATCCTAGTTATGTTGCATTGCACTCTACCATTTTAATTATTGAGGTTCACCATGTTCTTGTACTAGTGTTTTTTACTGTTTTCTCTGCATGCAGGTACTCCATCTGCAGGTCTTTTTGATGCCTAATGTATGGTCATTTATAGTTACTAAATTCCCTGTGGGTCCTTCAAAATTATTTTTTGATGTTTCCATATATTTGTAGTTTCATTTCGTACTATATTTTCCCAATCTTTAATTTATGTGTGGAGGACTTCATACATGTTTGATACGTGAATAGTAGTTTTGTTCGCTCCTAGCATAAAACGAACCATGTTAGACCGGGTTCTGCCTGCAAAGCTCGACTCTTACTTAGTCCAGAGCTCTTCAACATGATGCATGAACACATAGCAACCTGCTTACCATTCCTCGCCCGGGCTCATGCAGATGGAGGGTAATGTTCGTTTCTTACTTTAAGGGGAGCAGATAACCAAGAAAAGCAGGAAATGAGGTAAGTTTTACGAGTTGGGGTGGAAGTTAAGTTTGAGGAATGGAATGGCCTGGGGACCAGAGAGATGATGTTAAACAAGTAGTTGCATGCAAGTTGCAAGTAGTTGTGGGTGATCTGGTAAAGGCTTGGAGAATATTGTCTTGAGTGGTAAGATTAGCAGGAAGAGGGGGCAAGAGTAACGTGGCCTTCATGTGCTATACGGAAGGTTGAGTCTCCATCAAAGTAGAATGAGCAAATGTGGTTGGTGAATTATTAGTTTCTTTGATGCACTTGCAAAGGGACCACATTTCTTCATCTCTTCATCCACTATTCCTGCACTCCCATTTCATTTGCTGAGAGATCAAGCTAAGCTAGCTACTATTATGTGGTAGGTTGCATTGTATGTGAATCACATCAACATAAGTGCATAATTTTAGTTTCTAATCATATTGTGGTTCAACATATGTAATTGACAAGCTGTCACAGATAGTGGCTGGTTTAAACTGATTGCATGTCTTATAGCAAAGTCATCTGAGTACAAAGGACCCAACAGAATGACAGAACGATTCTCTTACTTATTTGTCATAAATCTTGTTTAGCTCCATCCTATTTCTGAATCGAGTAACGAGAGTTAAGGTAATAATCTTGACCAACACTTAATTATGTTGCATCTAATTGATTCCTTCAAGTCAATTATGAGAAAACACCTACCTTGGCTGGTAAACAGGTTATCTGTCTCACAACACCATCCAGCAATATATTCATCATATATATACATCCATCCTAACTAACTAAATTGAGAAAAGACCCATAATGTGATTGATTAATTAAGTGAAACAAGATTAAGTGATGTGGTTTCAGGTGTTGAGGTTTGCCATATATAAAAACATATATATATAGTTGAAGTTGAAAGGTACATGTATGGGCAAGAAAAAACGGTGAATTAAGCTAGCTAGGGGGAATCAAATTAAAGTGGTACAGTACTAAAAAGGACCTGGAGGATGTACAGAGCAAAACAAAACGAGAAGACAGAAATGTTGGATCCGGATGTGTATATATGCGCGCACTATCAATAAAAAGCATTTATTTTATTTTGTTAGGCTTTCTAAATGTATAGTTTTTCTGAGCCTTAGAACATGCAAACCCTGACCTCTTTTCCCAACAATGGACCCATATACCAGTGATTCACGTTCCACAAGGGTTACCAAAATCTCCCTGGGAGGAGGACCACTTCGCAAATATCCACCTTTTTTTTTTTTTTTTTTTTGCTATTTTAGATTTAATTTGCCTAGTCTTTTGTGTGTGTGTATATCACAAGTCACATGCATGTGGAGCACTAGGATAGAGACAGGGTTTTAGTGCCAAAATCAAATCACAATTAAAGTGATTTAACATGATTTTCCATGGAAGTTAATATAGTTAAGAGCATTATTATAATGTTAAAATGGTATTCACAAATTATTTTTAAAACTTGATATGATTGCTGATATTTCTAAAATGGTGAAGAAAGAAGTTTAAAAAGGTGACAAACGTTAAGAGTGACACAAAAAATCTAACCATAGTGTACACTGTATACACCTCTTGCCCATGGATGTAGCAATGAAATGACAACCAGGCAAAGACATCTTCCCCTTATTCTTTTTGTTGCAAGAAAATCAATAAATGGACAAGTTCAACAATTAATGATTAAGGGATTGTTCGACAAAGTGGCAAGTTTAGCAGCCTTTCGAAAATGTGGTAGCATATAAAGAAACAAAGTTGTCCCTTTGCTACAAGCCATATAGCTTTTGAAGTAATATTAAGCACTTAATCTTGACAAGTACTATTAGAGCCAAGGTCACGGAGAGGAGGCTGGCAGATGTTGGGAATGAGGAATTAATCTAAGTTATTCATATTTTATAATTAAAAAAAGTCCATAAATTACCCTCGTTGAAAGTCAACCGTTTGATCAACTTAGTTGAGATTATCCCCTTGTCATATCTCATCTCGGGCATAGGCATGCGTGGCCGGTGTGGAAAGTGGTGTGGTCGACCAAACTAAAAATAAACACGTACGTACGTACCCTGAAGCGGTACGTGGGTAGAGTAGAAATGATCAGAGCAAAATAAAAGCAGAATGCATGTGCATGGCAAAACACTTGTAAAAATGGGCAGAGAGATTCAGGCATCGTTTTTCTGTTAGTCGCCTGTCACCCTACGAGTAACGATAAACGTAACTATGCTACACATACTATGGCTAGGTTAATTAGGTGGTGGTTTGCGGGTCAAACGGCTGCATACTTTCCGGTAGTTTAGGCACATGGATTTCTGCTTCCTTATTATTTCAAACCGATTCTTAAAATCTACGGAGTATCTTATGCTTTTTTGAATTCCGGCACTCTTCTCGTAGTAAAAAAGGGCATCACTCCCTCGAAACCCTCAACAATTGCTACACTCCAATGTACCAAACCACTTTTTGTGACCATCAGTTTCGTACACCAACGTACCACCCTCTATTATTCATCTCGAGTATTTTCAATTCCTCATTCTCTGTTTGGTTATTCAATTTTTTGTAACAGTTTATATTCTTAAAAGTCATTTTGCATTAATCAATTATCAGTTAATTACTAAACATCTTTTTACAACCAAGTAATGTACTAATGTTATCAGCTAATTAAACTCACTAACAACTATTTGTCAAAAACCTGGATGTGTTAACCTCACCTAATAATTAAGTTGCATTTAAAAATGATTAGAGGAATTTAATGCTTGAAAGAGAAAGTGTTGCAGATAAGTTGGGACAGGGAGGAAATAAGAGAGATGGTTTGAAAGGTAAGGTGTCGCCATTTAGAACCCAGCCTTCCAGCTGTGAAAGGCAAGTTAATGGTGAGTGTAGAATGGGACGACCAAGAAGGATAACCTTAATTATATATATTCTTCGTTTCATGTGGCTTATGTAATATGTATGATGAATGTATCTCAACTTATTAAGAGTACACTTAATCTTTTTCTGGGGAAAAATTATGAAGGGCCCGGTTGCCATTGGAAGGGTCAACAATGACTTGTAAAACCCATTGGGTATGGCCCCCACCATGTCCTTTCACCTTGTACACGGCCCCCAAAACACCCGTGTTCTGTCCTTGCCTCCTACACCCAGAAGAAACCACCCCCCTACCCCACCCTCAACAGGCAGCGAGCCTAGCTAGCTATTTTCTTCATAAATACCTTACCTTTCATAGCTCCATTCTCCTCACCTGACCGCCACCACCACCACCAAGAACAAATTTTCTTTCTTTTCTTCTCATTCTTGAATATTCATTCTTGAATATATATACAATTATAATGGGTATCAGAAAATCGAGCAAGCTTCCGCTACAAGCGGCGGTGCTGAAACAAATTGTGAGAAGATGTTCGAGTTTGGGGAAGAAACACGGGTACGATGAAGAGGGACTGCCGGTGGACGTTCCCAAGGGTCACTTCGCGGTTTACGTTGGGGAGAACAGAACAAGATACATCGTACCAATCTCGTTCTTGAGCCACCCGGAGTTTCAGTGTCTCCTCCAACGCGCCGAGGAGGAATTCGGGTTCGACCACGATATGGGCATCACTCTCCCCTGCGAAGAAGTCGTTTTCAGATCTCTAACCTCCATGCTTCGATAGACAGTTAGCAACGTTTGCATGCATGAATCCGAGGACGACGACGGAATTAATAATTATTAACGTTTGCTGCCGGCGGTTCAGGGAATATATATAATGCTCTCTCCATCTGCAACTTAATTACTTTAGTTTCTAGCTAGCTAGGTTTATGATTTCTTAGCTTGTTTTTTTAACTCATTTTGGGTCATGGATTAATGACCTGACCTCAGCTCGATCTAACCCGATCGATCCATGAAATGTTGTCTTTTTCATGGGTTTAGATTTGTAAGAAATGTACTAGTTTTTTTCCCTGGTGGTGGTGTGTTTCATGCGCCCTTTGGGAGAGTTAATTAATGTCATGCTTTTAATTTGCAAGCTAAGGATCAACTTCAATTCTTATTATCTAACTTATCATCCATTTTAACGGCGGCTTGTCTAACCAATTCTTCACACAGCATTAGCTAGATCCAATTATTTGGATAATGCGTGAGTGGATGTTCATCATATAGATGAGAGACATATATTGATATAATATGTGAGTTTATCATATTAAGTATATATCTAAGCATGACAAAAACTTGTTTGAGACGGTCTCACCACCCATGATACCTGTCAGATCTTTGATTAATGATGTCAAAGAGCAGACTCGTCTCACGGATTGAACTTGTGAGACGTCTCACACAAGTGTTACCCAAATAGCATAACATGGGAAGGCTAGAGCCGGGGGCATGGCTATATACTTTTTTTTTTTTTTTAAATACCAAGTTTAAAATGGAAATTAATTTATGTCCTTCTATCTAAAATTGATGTAGGGCGTTGGTTCACAGATGCTTTGGCATCCGATCCATAGTTATATAATAATTTGAGCTGGTCCTGTGCCATGTTTAAGTGTTTATTATTATTATTATTATTATCACTTATGCACTAATTAAATATATATACATAATGTTAACGAAAATCAAACATATATATTATTGACAATGGCAATATAATGATCCCTGCTGCTTCTATAGTCTAAAGTTCATTCGGATTCCAGGGCCTTAAAAATCAGAACAAAATACATAGCATTGAATTGTTGAAGTGTTGAACAGTTCGTAAAAATTAAGGAAATCTATATATGCGGCAACAAGAGGTTATGGCTTTTGGTTACGGAGGTACTGTTATTAGTACAATGCCACTGCTGTTTCAACTTTCCGTAACCAAATACTCCGTAGTAGAACGTACGGCTATAAACACTTTAGTTACCACCCAATCCAAATTCCAAAGCAATATAAATTAGAGAAGTCATATCATCTTCACGCCTCTCATAAAAGCTGTGGATCTTATTAAATTACTACGGACACACTCCATTACTCATACTCAATAAATGCAAATTTGTGGGGACCTAACCAAGCTAACCAGAGTTCTTAATTCTATAGCCAAACACAATAGTAATTTTCTGAGAGGTTCTAAGGACAATCACAATAGTAATTTTTGAGGAGTTTTTACAAGTGATAATCTTATGTGAAAGAGTCGAAGAGAGAAAGTAAATCCAGCCAAGCACAGCGCATAAATTCCATGCGTCACAAGCGCGGTGATCTGACCCTTTTCTTTTTTCAAATTTTGTTTTTCTTTTCTTTTTTTCCTTTTACCATTCCCTCTCATGTTCTCTTTTCTAGTGCAAAAACTCCTCAAAATCTATACTTATTGAAAAGTCACTAAGTCGAACAAGGACTTTCTCGAAAATTGATAAATGCAAACTTGTCATATACACACAAAATACTTGCTATGATAGTCCATTATAGGTGGGCGAATGGGCGCAATAAGTGTCTGCTCTTACGAAAGAGGCTAACCATGCCCAGCCAACGATCCAACCCAGTCAACTAAGCAATCCACCGTACATCCCATTATGTTTTTTCATGGAATAAATTCAATAAAGTACTCCTTGGAGAAGCCATGGCATAGATGCAACAAAAACATGTAACGCTTGACAAGAAGATAGGAACCAATATACAAACGTTTACACCTCTGACAAATGAAAAACTTGTGAAGCAAGAGCAAAAAGTTTTGTTCCCTTTGGAGTTTGGGCAATCATAATGTATTAAGAACTTATTTGATAATAAATGTAATTCACAAGCAAAATTGAACAGTTAACCAGTAGAATATGATTGTCCTACGCATCAAGCGACAATAAGACATGTGAAAGGGGGGTCTCTCAAATATTATTTTGATCAGGCTGCAGCATCTCCACAATATCCACTTCAGTGATGTGCCTTTGCTTCCGCCTTTTTGTGAGACTTTGCCTTGGCCTGTAAAAATAAATGTAACAGTTTCTTGATTACAACCATTACATATTAGTCTGGAATATACAGTTCACTACTTCACTTGAACCAAGACACGCATCACCATGTTGTAATGACATTCATCTTACAAAATTGTTAGCTCAAGCAATTGCCAGAGAAGTTACAGGTGAAGTAGCAATAATCAAATCCTTCTCAAGGATGAGCCAAAATAAATAAACAGAACACAAATCGCTAACTGATGGATCACGCCATGCTGATGAAACTATAATGCATAATATCACAAATCTAAAGAAGCTGAGATCTCAATTAAGTACATATTGACAATTAGGAGAACAAACACAACTGAATCTTCATCATATCTAACGATAAGAGAAGCCATTCAGCAGTGATGCCAAACAAATAAGGTATTGGGATATGGACCCGTGTATAATTATGATGCATGGATTGCCCCCTAATTCCTAAAACATGGCTAAAAAACACATTAACACAATCTCAAAAACCTAATTTTGTCATGTCAAACTCACACAAAAAGGCCAAAACTGCTTATTCAAGATTGAACCTCTATTCTAGAAACCATTATGTTTTATATCAATGCAGTCACAACGATTCAGATGCAATAAATTCATTTGATTTACTATAATTGGGTATTCTACCACGAAACATTTAGTGAAACAGCAATCCAGCAACAAAAATTTAAAGAATCAATCAATAAAAACATAAATCAGATATCATCACGGGAACTTTCAATCGAATCCCTGAAACCCTGACCCTACAGCTACCAATTATGTGCTACGACTGAGAAGTACATGAGGATTAGGCATATATTCGCAAAATGAATCACGCACTAAACAGCAATTGACTTAAACGATTACCCTGAGATACTTGAGCTTTACGTTTCCGTATACAAGTCCGAATGTGAATGCCGATGCACGAGCCACCTACAACCGATCAATCATACAACACCAAATCAGCTCCAAATCGCAAAATTGTACATAAATACATCCACACCGATATAAGTATGGAAGTGTGTTTTGATCGCAGTGAAAAAACATGGAGGAGAAGAATTTGTTACCAAGGCTAAGGTGCTGGTTCCAGAGTAGGGTCCCGGTGGAGGCGCCATTGTTGACTGCAAAGCGAGCAGAAGGAGAACGTGCTTTTGCTCAGATCTCTCTACAACCCTAGAAATCGAAGACTCTGCTCTTTTCTCGGATGCGTCTGCTTATACAAGTGCGGTGGGGTGGACCATTCTCTTTGGGCCTATTCATAATTTTGTCTCGGGCTGTAGGTGAACATATCATGGCCCAAAATTGTAAAATTTAAAGACGGTTTGATTGGATGTAATTTCCTTGCAATTAAATTGAAATTTATTGAAGTCTTAAATTAGCTGTTTGTTTATAGGGAATTATAAAATTGAAATTATTTTTAAAAAGTGAATAGAAAATAAATTGTGCGTAAAAATTTAAATGAATTGTCTCCAAAAAAAGGGAAAAAATGAAAACATGATTAGAAAGAAAATATGAGAGGATATTTTAAAGTGATATGGAAGAGTAAAAGGAAGAAGTATCGCGGATGTGTTTATAGTGTTTTGTTAGTTTAAAAATATAAATAGAATAAATTTTTTAATGACAATTCAAAAATATTTTAATCTCTCATTTGAAATTGTGCAATAAACTTAGCATTTCATTTATTTACAATTAAGTTTTCAAATTTTAAGTAAAGTGATAAAATTAGTTTATAAGATATAACCAAAACTACATTGACTAATGATACGATAATTGATTAGTGCAATAAATATCATATGCTTAAAAGATTATAAGGGAATGATCAATAATAATGCTATTATTATTATGTTTTTTGAAACAATGCTATTATATTATTAAAAAGGTAAAATATTACTTACGTTAAATTTTGTATTAGATACTTTACTATATATATATATATATATATAAACAAAAAATTGTAATTGTGTCATACTAAAAAGAATATTGGCACACTCCTCTTGAAAGTCTAGCCATTGTTTATTTCACGAATAAATAGCCGAAAGTGAAGAATTGGTCAATCGCTCATTTGATTATACGACTTGGAGGAATCATAACATAAAACCACGCATTGATTCCATGTCACTGTCATTCCTACACACCTACCCCTTTTTTTTCCTTTTTTTTTTTTTTTTTTGAAAGCACACTCTTACATCATAAAAATAAGGGAAAAAAGTCAAATAAGCCCTCAAACTTTATCCAAAGGTGCAATTAAGCCCTCCAACATTAGAATAGTTCAATTAAACATTCAAACTTGTCATTTTGATACATTTAAACGCAAATATGACCTGTTGTTCACTTGAAACAACCGACCATTAAGTTTCCGTCCAATATTCCAGCGACCGTCAAACGTCTTATTATCGGCGCCCGGTTGTCTTCTACCATCTGTTGGTCTCTGATAGTCTACATAGTAAAAAAGTAGAACATGCTTCTGTTGCCTTGTCGCCAAAGCTTCTGCAATAACAGCCTTATCTTCCATCTCCGCAAGCTCTGCTCTCTTCTCTCGCAGTGTTCAATTCGTGGTTGCAAGTACAATGGAATTTCACTTTAGTCGAGGGGTTTTGCTTTCTTTCTCACTTTTTGCCTCCAAAGAAAAAGGAGGAATTCTAAAAAGGGGTGGCTGCGAGCGTCCAAAACGATGCCTTTATGCATTTTTTGGGCGCAATCCACACAACGCAGCTCAGGTGCTTCCTTGCTTTTTTCTTGCCTCTAGTGGAGAAGATGAACGACGACTGTTCATCTTCTTCAATGGAGAAGACGGCTGTCTGTTCGTATTCTCCTTTGGAGACAACAACCAATCTGGTCGTCTTCTCCATTGGAGAAGACAACGTAACCGGACTGGTGGGGCTTTTAGGTGGCATCAATGACGGATAGTGGATGCTGCAATCTTCACTGTTCAACACCCTACTGGAGTCACTGTCGGATGAACCGGCTTTGAAGTCCATTACAACTTTGGTCTCCGATGAAAATTATAATAAACCGCAGTTTGTTGGAGCTGATGGATCTTGGTTTTTGTTGGCAGAGTGATTGCATTCTTTATTTTCGTTGGAGCAGAACTACCTGCGAAGGTGACCGTCGTTTTTCGGCAAAGGTGGCCGTATCTAGGGGGTGAATAACCAGTAACCTATTGGTTACCGGTAAACATGGTTTATTTGATCTATCTTGACAAGTTTGAGTGTTTAATTGAACTTTTTTAAAGTTGAAGGGCTTAATTGCACTTTTAGATAAAATTTGAGGGCTTATTTGACCATTTTTTCTTAAAAAAAAAAAAGAAAAAGAAAAAAATTAACAAAAAAAAAAAAAAACTGAAATGACGGATATTTTTTAACTAAATTTTTTGAGTACTAGTGACTCTATTACATGGTAGAACAGTGCTTCCACTAAGACTCAATCTCATTCTTCCAAAAAGCTGAACCCCAACCCTAAGGGCCCCCCACACTGCTGCTGGTGAGATTCGATCATTGATCATTCTTCCAAAGTTTCACCTCTGTGATCCGTTGAGCTGCCCATGCGGGTCACTAAGACTCAATCTCATTACCTCTCATATGGAAGAGTCACTACATATAATTTGACGGAAATTTTTAACTACATAATTGAAGGAGAATTGAAAACTTAAAATGTTAGACAATTCAATTATTACTCAGACACTCAGTAACTTTTTGATTGATAAAATCGAAATGATTGATATTTTTAAACTACACAATCAAGTACTCAAGTAGCTAACTTTGCCTCGTCATCATAATTCATAAATGGAGATTTATTTAATACAAATAGTATAGTCTTCCTAGGACTCATCTTCTGGGAGCATAAAAGACCAAAGCTAAAGCCGCGCTTGTCTGGCTATTCAAAGTCCACATTGAGACGAGTCAGACCTCGACCCCGCCTTCTCTTCATGGCCTTCTCCATCTACGCCACCGCAGCCGCCGCTAATCTCTCTCCGCTTACGCCACCGCTAGAGAAGCTCTTTTTCCCTTCTTCGAGATCATACTCTCTCTGCTCCAAAACCATCCCAAAACCATGCCGCCCCACCACCCAAAAACCCCTCGTCGTGGCGGCGGCTTCGGAGAACCCCGTCACCGACGTCAGATCGGTTTACAAGGACGAACCTGCTGACCATTCATTCGCTTCTTATTTTGACGAGGACCGCAACGACCGTCCCCGGGAAGAGTGCGGCGTTGTGGGAATCTACGGCGACCCCGAGGCCTCCCGCCTCTGCTATTTGGCTCTTCATGCTCTCCAACACCGCGGCCAGGAAGGGGCGGGCATCGTTTCGGTCCACGACAACGTTCTTCAACATATCACGGGTGTCGGGTTGGTTTCCGAGGTCTTCAACGAATCCAAACTCGACAAGCTTACCGGTGAAATGGCCATCGGACATGTCAGGTACTCTACAGCTGGCTCATCCATGCTTAAAAATGTTCAGCCTTTTGTTGCGAGCTATAGGTTTGGCTCCGTCGGGGTTGCCCACAATGGCAACCTAGTCAACTACGAAGCCCTGCGTGCTGCTCTTGAGGAAAATGGATCAATTTTCAATACAACCTCCGACACAGAGGTGATTCTTCACCTCATTGCGATATCAAAGGCGAGGCCTTTTATTCTTAGGATTGTGGAAGCGTGTGAGAAGCTTGAGGGAGCTTATTCTTTGGTGTTTGTGACTGAGGATAAGCTAGTCGCGGTTAGAGATCCTTTTGGGTTTAGGCCATTGGTGATGGGTAGAAGGAGCAATGGCGCCGTGGTTTTTGCCTCTGAAACCTGTGCTTTGGACTTGATTGAGGCCACATATGAAAGAGAGGTTTATCCCGGTGAAGTGGTGGTGGTGGATAAAGAAGGGTTTCAATCCCTTTGCTTGATGACTCACCCAGAGTCTAAAGCTTGCATCTTTGAGCACATTTACTTTGCCCTTCCAAATTCAGTGGTTTTTGGGAGGTCTGTGTATGAGTCTAGGCACAAATTTGGTGAAATTCTAGCTAGTGAATCCCCTGTTGAATGTGATGTTGTGATAGCTGTTCCTGATTCTGGGGTTGTGGCTGCACTTGGTTATGCTGCTAAAGCAGGGGTTCCATTTCAACAAGGGCTAATAAGGTCACATTATGTCGGTAGAACTTTCATCGAGCCATCACAAAAGATTAGGGATTTCGGGGTGAAGCTCAAGCTCTCACCCGTGAAGGCGGTGTTGGAGGGGAAGAGGGTTGTGGTTGTGGATGATTCGATTGTGAGGGGAACCACTTCTTCCAAGATTGTTAGGTTGCTGAAGGAGGCCGGGGCCAAGGAGGTTCATATGAGGATTGCTAGTCCTCCGATTATAGCATCTTGTTATTATGGGGTGGACACACCTAGTTCAGGGGAGCTGATATCAAATAGGATGACTGTGGAAGAAATCCGGGCGTTTATTGGATCAGATTCACTCGCATTTCTGTCATTTGATACCTTGAAGAAACATTTAGGGACCGACTCTCCAAACTTCTGCTACGCTTGCTTTTCTGGGAGCTACCCGGTGCTGCCAACAGGCAAGGTGAAAAGGGTTGGCGATTTCATGGATGACGGATTGAGTGGAAATATGGGGTCTATTGATGGAGGCTGGTTACACAAAACTAAGATGCTGAATGAAAATGGAGAGGTGATAGCAACATCTGAACTTTAGTCGGTTTCTACATATAGTGTTATGAGTTGATAAAGATCCAAGCTGCAGTTGGAAGGGTTGGTAGATTGCTTTATACTCAAATGGGATCAATTCTGTCAAGATCTCACTGTTCTGAATTTGTTTACCTATTCTTGAATCTTGGTATGTCTCTAGTGTTTTAAATGTTGGGGCTAGAGATTAACTTTTCCCAGATTGAATGGATTGACTTGAAAAGGTTATGAATTCTAAATGTACCAAAATTAAATGTCACTTTCTTATGCAGTTCCTTCTATATCACCTCCTGTTTTTAGTATTTTTGGAAATCCTTATGCAGAGACAAAGGGACAAACACCATTCTTAGTTGTAACCTCAGAACAATTTCATGTTATTGCCTTAGGAATCAATTTCATAGTCTGACATTACAGAATCATCTGAGGAACAAAGAACAAACATTCAAGGCAATGCCTAAAACAGTGAGTCACATGACAAAAACGAGTAGAAAGTAAATTTAGGCATACAGATCTATGCCCCAGAACTTTGCTGGTTGATTGGTCCTATGGTTACGGTCCACGCTCTTGATCAGCTCCATGTCTTCATTGCCAAGTTCAAACCCGAAAACATTGAAATTCTCTTCCAGTCTTTCAACTTTTGATGACTTAGGAATCACGACAGTGTTTCTCTGGATGCCCCAGCGCAGCACAATCTGAGCCACCGTCTTTTTATGTTTTTCAGCTATGCCCTTGTGCAATAGAAACAAAGATACATCAGTACTGGCTCCATTCCATTTGCATGAACAATACAAATCTCACAGCTTTTTCATAAGATAAATATATTTAAGAGAGATTATTTACTTTAAGAACTGGATCTTCCAGGCATGATACTGAACCAAACCATTCAGTGTTGGCCACAGCACCTCCAAGAGGTGTGTGAGCTGTGACACAGATTCCATGCTTTTGACAGAATTTGACAAGTGAATCACGCTGGAAGTAAGGATGTGTCTCGATTTGATTCACAGCAGGCTTAACCTTTGAATATGCTAAGCAATCCCGGGTAAGGAAAATGTCATAGTTGCTGCACATGAATTGCCATTGTTATACTCAAAATACATTTAAGTTTCTTTCAATATTAAAATGCAATTGTATCAAGTAAAAAGATCCCCATTTGTGTAATACTATAAGTAGTATCTAAAAGTACGGTTTTCTGGACAACATTTTATGCAGGATTGAGCACACCAAGCAGCAACAGAAATGAATAAAACTGAGTGCATCAAGCCAAATCCTTAGAAACATGTAGATTAAAAAAGTCTACCTGATTCCTATACTGCGAACCAGGCCCTTGGAAACTAGATCTTCCATGGCATGCCATGTTGTCTCCAATGTTATAGTAGTGTCTATATCCAGAACACCATCATCTGCTATGGCGCTTGAGGTCGCACCAACTCCTGCAGGGAAATCAATATATCAATACTAAATACTTTCTTAGTTATGAGCAGATACTACATTGTAACAGAGTCACTAGTAAAAAAAAAAAAAAAAAACTTTCTCAGTTACTAGAAATCCCTCCATGCAATTAAACAGGGATAATCTGATACTTCCAGAGGTGCGAAAAAGGCACATAATCTGCAATACAAAATGATCTTTCACCTGTATGTTTAGTGGCTATGGGGAAGTGAACAAGGTAGAGATCCAGATACTCTAGGCGCAGCTTATTCAAACTGTCCTTACAAGCCTCAAGAACATGACCATGATCTGAGTTCCAGAGCTGGAAAAAAACATCATCGTATTACTACCCAAATGTGGTAAATCAAAATTGGCAGACAAATCTTATGGTTTTCTCGGAGCCAACCTTGGTTGTGATAAAAAGTTCCTCCCTTTTGACAAGCCCCGCCTGAAAAGCCTCTGCCAGTGCCTCACCCACTTCCGCTTCATTCTTGTAGTCAGCTGAAAGCAAAACAAAGCACCCACTCTCCAATTCAACCAAATCATGCATCAAATGATAAAGCGAAACGCACATTTTTCATGTTATAAACCACAATTTTCAGCAATTCACTGAAACTAAATCAAGAGAAAACAGCAAAATAGAAATCACGAAGAAGAAAAAAAATCACCAGCGCAGTCAAAGTGACGGTAGCCGATCTTGATAGCGTTGATGATGAGATCCCTTATATCTTTGCCCTCCATACGCCAAACGCCGAGGCCAACCGCCGGCATTTTGAAGCCGCTGCTCAGAGTAATCGCCATTTCTTCAAATCCTCACTTCTTTCCTCTTCCCAACTTACACGTCTCTCTCTGTAAGCAAGCACAAAAAAGGGTGCTGCAAGATTCTTGACTGGTTTGGGCCGATTGAGTTTGGACTAGAGAATCAAAGTGGATCAGCTGAAGACCCCTCTTATGTCGGAGGGAACGAGGTCGAGGAATATGCGCATAAATCGAAAGATCAAATATTTACATTTAAGATAAATTCATATTGGACTTTGTAATTTGGGCCGACAGACTGGGATGCCCAAACTACATAAATCTGGCCCGATCTCAGAAAAGCACGGGGGACACGTGTCCGACAAGGACTGCATTTATTAATAATGCTATCATTTGTATCCAACATGAATTATACGTTCGCACGAACAATATCGTGGAGAGAGATCCATCTATTATTATATCCCAAAACTCAAGACCTCTCTCTCTGTTCAGAGTTCAGACGCTAAATCTCAGATCCCAAATCCCATCAAAAGATCCGAACAATGTCTTCGACTTTCAGCGGCGATGAAACTGCTCCCTTCTTCGGCTTCCTCGGCGCCGCTGCCGCTCTCGTCTTCTCCTGTATGCATCTCTTTCACCCAATTCTTACCTGTATTTGATTTCTATACGCAATTATATGTGTTGATTGATTGATTGCTCAGGTATGGGAGCAGCCTATGGAACGGCGAAGAGTGGCGTCGGAGTGGCGTCGATGGGAGTGATGAGGCCGGAGCTTGTGATGAAGTCGATCGTGCCGGTGGTTATGGCTGGTGTGCTTGGTATTTACGGATTGATTATTGCTGTGATCATCAGTACTGGGATTAACCCCAAAACCAAGTCTTACTACCTATTCGATGGATATGCACATCTCTCTTCCGGTCTCGCTTGTGGCCTCGCCGGACTCTCTGCCGGAATGGCCATCGGAATCGTTGGCGATGCCGGTGTCAGGTGCTCATCATTCCGATTTTGCGTATTATTCTGTTAATTTAGTTTTATGCACTCCAAAATTTTTATCTGAATCTTACTGAGACAACATTCAAAATATATACATGACATTCTGAATTTCTGAGGTCTCATTCAATGATAAAAATAAGGTAGAATTATCTTATGAACTATATCCCTTATATTGGAATAGATTATATACTTGAACTCATCCATATTGTTTTGTAGAAATTATGGGTAATGTAATAGTGGCTCTATTACTTAGCTGATGGTGAATGCTACATCTTTCTTCTTATTTTTCTTTTCTTAATTGCATGGATTTCAGATCTAAATCTAATAATGGCAGCACTAGGGTATAAATGGTTGTGTGTCTATAAGAATCTTTTGTAGTTATATGTGAATTATGCATTCATTCAAAGGACCGTAAAGAGCTAAACCAGTCTAGGTTGCCCTACCTGAAAGGCTCAAACCAAGAAGACCAGGACTCCAGGAGGGGTTGCTCCCACTGGGAGTTGAACTTATAACCTTGTGGTTATCAAGTCAAAGGCCTCAGCTTTACCAACTTGGCCGGGTTGCCCCGAATTCTCAATTCTTGAGAATAGTGTTGGGTGCTTGCAACAAGAATACTAGATTAATAGAGAACTCTATAATCTATATGTGTCTACCATTCCTTGTAATCTAAAAACATCAATGTAGTTTTATGGCTTCGTTGATTATCAGTTGTTGGAGAAAGAATGTTGTATTATAGGTGTTTAGCTTTCCCCTTTTTGGTCTTAATGTTTCTAGAAGTGTGGAAAGCTTGAACACTTATCCAGTCACCCTATTAAGAGAGGTTATTGTGGCTCCCTTCTTTGATATGCAATGTGCAGTGTAAATATCTATAATCACCTATTCTGGAGAATTAGTATGTGGTGCGTGCAAGTTTTATACTGCAGAATAAATTTACTTTCTTGCTTTTTCCAAAGAGAGGGAGTCAGAAAATTTTAGAGCATATCGGAAGTAGGTTCATGTTGTTTTAATTCTTCTATTGCTAACTGAGATTTTCATCCATAGCTTCTAGCTCTGTTAAACCACATCTGTAGATCAAAATTAAAGATACGAATTGCTTGCAAAAATGTTTCGAATTGATTGCAGTAGGAATTTTAGGTTGTAACAGTTTTGTGGCGGTGCTCTAACTAAAGTTATAACTTGCAGGGCTAATGCACAGCAGCCAAAACTTTTTGTTGGAATGATCCTTATTCTCATTTTTGCTGAAGCTTTGGCCCTTTATGGTCTCATCGTCGGCATTATCTTGTCTTCTCGAGCTGGGCAGTCTAGAGCAGAGTAAAAAGGAGGATATGATTTATGTCCTTAGAAGGCTGTGGTAGAAAGTCAATTTTTATGAAGCACGTACGAGAAGCTATTGAGGTTTGTTGTCGTTCTTCATTCTGGCACTATTAAGAGTCATAAGGAATAAGCTTAATTATGAAGCCAGTCACTGGTCTTTTCCCTTTAGCGAGTACTTTTGGGTTATTATATATCGTTTCTGAATTATGTACAACCCTTTTTCCCCCCTTTTGAGCTCTGATCTGTACACCTATGATATTTATTTGATTCCTACTTTATTTTACTCATTGCATGAATGCATGGTGGTGTATGAACCTGTTCAGTGTTACTATAATTATGGAGAAATAGAGATCCTGGATGGTCTTAGAATAAGAGTTGAGTTTTTTGCCCTATTGTGTAAAATAGTTAGCCTATGAGCTAATTTTGGCTTACCATTATTAGCTATTTGACTTGGTTAAACAATCAACACGAGTATTTGATTTATTAGTTTAAGCTTTTTCGATTAGTTTTTTAGCTAATTTACCAAACAGTTTTCTACCATCAGCTAATGCTATCAATTAGTTAAACTCACTAACACAATAACCCAGCATTGGAATGAGGTACCAACATGACTGGAGTTGCCCTAACTCGTGTATGTCTGATACATTTTAAATATCATATAATCTTGGTTCTCAAATATAATCATATTGTTGGAACCAATTAAATTAATTAAACCTTGGTTGTGATAAAAAGATCTTCCATTTTGACAAGCCCCATCTGAATAGCCCCTGCAAGTGCCTCCCCCACTTCTCCTTCATTCTTGTAGTGAGGTGCAGAAAGCATGCAATACAAAGCAACAATAAAATTTGCCACATATTGTATATAGACAATACAAAAGTTTGGTCATTTATGGTTGGCATTATCTTCTTTTCATGAAATAAGGAGTAGCTCAATATATATTATGATAGAATTACTATGGTTTTATAGGTCTGTGATGTATATTTGGTCCACCATACACTTCTATATAACCCATTTAATGGAATATATATGAGCCCCATGCCTAATATTGCAAAACAAGAAATAGCCTACAAGGCCCAATAAGAGTTTGGAGTTTGCATCAACAAAATATGTAATACGGAGTAATTTTTTTATTTATTTAATTCCTAGGAAGAGAGACCTTGAAAATAAATAAAAGTTAATAAAGAAGAATTTACTAATCCTTTCTGGGACCTTGCGCACCAAAAAAAAAAATATTAATTAATTAATTAATAGGCCCTTACGATGACATCCCTGATCCGCGGGATGCTCCATATATGCCTCCCAGCATCATTTGCAAGCACTGTCGTAAGACATTATGGGCAAATTTCAAAAACTTTCATACCATGTTCTGCCTGAAGGGAGAAATCAATAAGGGTATCAGTTGCTATATTTAGCTCTTTGAAAAACTGTTCTACTTCAATCCTGCAGTATAAGTTTTCTACTTAAATTTCAAAATTTTGCATATAGATTTTATTACTAACGATTTAATTAATTTTAAATAAATCCCAAACAAATGAAATAACAGTAGTCATTAATTAAAGAATAAAAAAGAGACAAATTGAGTTTAAATATTTAATTATAATTTTTTTTATACTTAAGTGATTCCAGGGCACGCCCCTAAAGCCTTTGTGGATGTAAATCGTGAGTATAGTTGTGCACCCCAATCTAAACCTTCTGGTATCTTTGAGTCACTTTTTCCATACATGTTTCCTCTGCCACCACCTTCAATCATGACTTTTAAGTCATACGACGAATGAATTATGCTAAGCTCCCGGGCTTAACATTTTAATTAATTGTTATTACAAGTTGTTTGTCAAACATCTTGTGCTCAAATAACACTCCCATCACTCTCTTTGAGTGAAGGTCACATGATCGAATCCAGTGGTAGATATTGACTTACAAATATTACTTTGTAATAGAGTCAATAGTATTTAAATATGTGATTTAATTTCAAGCACCCTCCAGCATACGGACATGCCATGATGCCCTGTCAATCAATTTGTATTGGTATATTATAGAAGATGAGGATATAGATAATATAAAATAACATGGCTTTGCCGTTGCATACATTTTTCTCCCATGTGGTTCCAAACCATTTTCTATCAAGATTAGGTCACTGTCCCATAAACCGGAAAAAATTAGGTCATGCCTTAACCACTCACGACTCTATCTAATTAATTTCCGACACCTTTATACGAAATTAAATTAGGTTAGGAAAAGGATGTTAAACACTTTAACTATATATGATCCTTCTTCACGTACATACCATGTCGTTAGCTTTTTTGTTTACGAAGGCTCCAACAACCTTGTGTTTTAACAAACATTTAGGTTTGTGTCTCACCTCAATGACCTCATTATATGAAAATAGTCATTATTGTTGGTTTTGTTTTTTACATAATTAATATTGTTTTCATACTCCATTTTAGACAATGCCTAATTTCACTAATGTATGATAACCCACAAGTCACATATAAAAGGTGAATCATACTAAAATTTTTTTTTTCATATATATATTATAAACTTGAATTTATTTCCTGGACATAACTTAACTGGTTAACCAACCCATAATATATTCATAAGCTCTGTTTTGCTGGCAAGGACATAAAAAGAATGAGGTATGAATTTAACCTTATTGTGTGGACGATGCAAACTTATAAGCGTAAATTCCCAGGATAACTCGGGATCGATTCCCACAAGCGACGATTCCCCATGAGCCAGCTCCATAGCCTCTCTGAGCGAACGGGGATTAGTCAGGTGGACGAGCCAGCTCCATGGCCTCTCTAAGCGAACGGGGATTAGTCGGGTGGACCTGCAAGACCGTTAAACGGACAGAGAAAAACACAGATCACCTCGTGATTTACAGAGCCATCTAAACTTTATAATTTATATTTCAAAAGTGCTAGACTTTGGTTTCTTTTATTTGTGGAAAAGAGAAAGCTATAAGGAATAACATTAACTAATTCGTAGTCATCTTTTTGATCAATCCAGCAGTGCCCAAAAGTGACATGCACAGGATTTGTGGCTATTACTTCATGGTTTAACTACTGTCATTATTATCTAATTCTTTTGTGCTTTATCCTAAATTAGGTTTCAATGTTAATTAATTAATTAGGTTGAAGCATGCGCTACTTGCTCTTGCTGAAACATGTTTTTTAATGTTGTTGCTAAACTTTACAAAAATAAATTACTAATTTCATGATTTCGATTTTTTAAAAAAAGAAGACAAAGGAAACGATTTCAAACTTTAGACACTATAAACTATTATATATGAAAATTAAATTAATTTTTTTCTTATAAAGTAATTACAGGTGAGCAAAGAGAGCATATTTGTTTTTAAAAATTATATTTCAAAAGTTTCATCCTTTTATTTCTTTTATTTCTGAAAAGGGGAAAAGGTTTAACATTTTATAATCTCTATTTTTATTTAAGTAGTACCCCAGGTTAAGGCGGTTTCATTAAAATTAGGAGTCATGTCTAATAGTTTAATTTAGATCTTCATCATTTTTGTTTTGAGATGCAATCTAAATGTAATAATGTAAAATGAGAAAGTCAAATACAATAATAGAGAGACACGAACATAAGGGAAGATCGCTATATTGATACATAGATATCTCTATTTATAAAAGTAAGGAACATAATCTAAAAAGACTTTTGAAAGATAAATATAGAATTCTAGAAAATATCTATGACTGATGTAATTGAGTTATTGTATTCTATTACCAAAAAAAAAATAAAATTAATTTTTTTTTTCAAATATAGTGCATACAAATTCAACAAAGAAAAAAAAAATACAATTCAAATTTTAATCTAGAAGTGATATTTTTCATGCATATTTAAATTTTAAAAAAAAATATTCTCCAAAATTTCGATTTCAATTCCTTCTAAAATTTTATTTTCAATTACAATTAAGACTAATGGATTCTAACAAGTAATTATCAAGTATACAAATAATAAATTATATATAAAATTATTTTTTAAAAAAATTGGACCCTCAAAAAATTTGGGACCCTGTGCCGTCGCTCTAGCCGCACATGGCCTGGGCCGGGCCAAAGTGATATTCGAGAGGGGTAAATTGTGGTTGTTATAATGCCACATCAGCTTGCTATATATAATCACTATTTTCTAATTGTTGTGTGTGTCTAATTAAATTCATATCACTACGTACTACACAAGTACACATGATTGAGATATGATAAATAATAATAAAATAATAACAATATTATAATAAATCATATATATATATATATATGTGTGTGTGTGTGTGTGTGTGTGTGTGTGTGTGTGTAGAAAAATAGAAGTGTTGAGATAGAATATAAGGAAATGGAATGGTGTGTCTTGAGAAGTTACTTTCATGGAATTAGTCTAGTCATAGATGGGAGATCTGTTGGGGATAGGATAATCCTAGTAACCAAGAGATGTTGCCTCTTGGGGATTCTTCGGGGTATACTGTGTTGTGTTCGTGTAGGCCAACCTAACCTTTTCATTTTCTTTTTGTTATTCTTAGTTGTTCAACCAAACAAGGCTTTGTATTAGGCATTTAGGCATTTAGGCATTTAGGTTTTTGAAGTAACTGTATTGCTACACACAGAAGGAATATTCTGTTAACAGTTAACGTCCGGTGAGCGCCAAGGAGGTCGAATTAGATTCCCAGATATCCAGTTCAACATCAAAATCAAAATTAATAATAATAATAATAATAATAATAATAATAATAATAATAATAATGCCGGAGTAATAAATAAATAAATAAAAGAATCCGGAGGTAATGGCTTTTGTTACATTGTCCGAATAAACTTAAAAGCTACGGAGTAATGGAAAGAAGCGAGTCTCAATTAAAATTTCTTAACAAAATTTGATACAAAACTCTTTAACATTAGAAAACTGTCTACCAATTATCTTAAGCGGTTGAATTTATTATTTTAAATGTAATTATAAATTATTTTAATCTGAAAAGTGTCTGATCTGATCTACATCAAAAGCATGTGAGAGGGAGTACGGAGTTTAAAATGAGAGTACACCAAGTATTTTCTTAATAAAATACGCAGTTACTAAAGGTTCAAATTTATTGACCAACAACACCTACTAAGGATGCTTCATACATCCCTATCTAGGCTAAGGTCATAGATTTAGCAACTCATTCAATGACTTGACGTATGCTGCTTTGCTAAGGACAATATCAAAGACTTATTGCCTACTACTTAAAGACATGATTAATTACAAATTTAATTTAGCGTTTATCACTTGACGGTACCAAAGATAGCCATTTTCTACTATAATATAAGTGTAAAAGATTAATATACTTGACGGTACCAAAATTGTTTACCGTACAATTTAGATTTCAAAGATTAGTTCAA